TGTGTGGCAGAAAGCAGCATCAGAAAAGAGCGGCTCAGATGTACTGGCAGTATGAGCCAAGTGCGGGAGCACGGCTCCATTAGCAATGAGATAGGTGAGGCGTACACGCGTGTGGGACACAGTAGGGCACTTGTGGGCTGCGCAAAACAGCAGGCAGAAAAGATAAAAAGAAAATGTCTCGGAGAAACCCGGCAATAGGTAAAAAAAAGAGATATGCATTTAACAAGCATAATATCGGAAAAGGAACAGGGGGACGAGGGCCAAGGGACGAGTGGGCTCAGATGCACTGGCGGTATGAGCCGAGTAAAGGAGACCAGTTCCATTAGTAATGAGATAAGTAGGGCACACGCAGGTGTGACGTGTGTGGGACACAGTGTGGCACTCGTGGGGTGCGCAAAACGCCGATAAAATAGCGGAGAAACCCTGTAAAAGGGAAAATAAAAGGAAGATGCTTTTAGCAATAATATCAGAAGAAAAAAAAAACAGGGAGATGAGGGAGGAGGGGGCTCGGATGTACTGGCAGTACGAGCCACCCCGTTGATCGCATCAATCCGAGCGCACAGGGCCGGTCCCACAACGTTGGGGGAGCATACACTGTTATGTCATTGCTGATGGAAACCGCGATCAATGTTTTTTTGTCGCTAAAGGCTGCAATCACAATTATTGTTCAAGATACCCAGGTCCCGATATCCAACCGGGACTTACAAACAGTACTCCATCCCTCTCTCAGACACGTCCGTTCACAAACTGACACAGAGGTCGAGCCAGCCAAAGTTGCGAACATCTGGCATTTAGTCCCCATGAAGCATACCCACATGTTGTGCATAGCTCTATATAGGTTCAGCATCCTACATCTGAAAAATCGTGCACAATACCCATCAAGCAAAGCCACATGTTGTGCATGGCTCTACATAGCGTCCACATCCTACATCTGGAAAATAGTGCACAGTCCCCATCAAACAAAGGCGCATGTTGTGCACGGCTGTGCACGCAGTCCCCATCACGCAAACACAAATGTCGTGCATGGTCCTCGCATAGCTTCTACATCCTTACATCCATCTCATCTCAGGGCATGGACACTAGTAGAAGCAGCGTTTTCATCCCAACGCATCCACAATCCCTCTTCTAGAAAACATAGCAGCCCCCGCATGATGGCCCCTGCTGGGCCCAGAAAAAAATGTTGGCACACGGGACCATGCAGGGGCAGGGTCGACGTCCCACGCAACACAACATGCCAGGGTTCGTCCCTTCTTATTTTCGGAGTTCCCATGGCTGTGTTTCACGACACTGCAACAATTTCACTGACATTTTGTGAGCAGCCGCTTCAGCCACATATCTTGTGTCATTTTGTGCACGCTACTTCCCTCGTGTTGGAAGGGCCCAGGACACGCAGGGCCCAGAACTGTCCGTCCGTTGCAGAGACCACTTCGCTAGCATGTCATTGTGATCACGGTCGCTTTCATCACTTTCAAGGTCTTTGCTGTTTACTTTTTTTCCCTATTTTACGGTGGACGTGAGGGGGCTTCTCAATTTTGAGGCGGCAGATAAGACAGGTAAACCAGGTCGGTCTTATGTTGCCAAATGTGACCAGGGCAGTGATTTGCGCAATCACTTGGGCGGACAGGCACCGCAGCCCATTCTCAGAACTTGTGAGATAAAAGTGGCGATCAGAAACGGATTAAGGAGAGCAAATTTGGGCAGACAGGCGCAGAAGGGCGAAATACGTTAAGGCCCCCGGGTGGGCCCCGTGTTGGTCAATCGACCGGAAGGCCTGACAGTCACTAAGTGGCTTCAGCCTGGAGGGGTAGGTATCAAGGGGCGGTTGTTTGAACCAGGGTATCTCAGTTCAGGGTCTGGACCGCAGGAGGTCTCTAAGTGTTATAGGGTGGAGAGTGCACTGGTCACTTGTAACAGCGGTCCCCACCGGCCAATTGAGGCCGGTGTCAGGCCGAGTAGGCCTGTACAATAGTAGTTGGAAAGATTTGACCAGAATAAGGGAAGCTTTACTTTAAAGCACGAGTACATCTACATCACTGCCAAGGGTGCCCATCAGAATCCGGTAGGCCATGCAGGCCACCGATTTCAATATCAACAGCGCACCTGTGCCATCTTTTCCAGAAGAAACTCCTTGGCGACGAAAGAAACTCCTTGGTGACGAGTTTCTTTTCAGCAAGGCTTGTCAAACTTAGCAATCACGAGGAAAACTGAAACCAAGATGTGCCCTGGCTGCCAACAGTTGTAGCAGCTCCTGTTATCCGTCAAACGAAGTTTTCCGTTGTTCGCCACCATAATATCGAAGCCACTCAAGGCGTGGTGCAATCTCTACGCCGGTTACTCCGTGCATGAAGGCTGTCAAACTTAGCAATCACGAGGAAAACTGAAACCTGAGATGTGCCCTGGCGACCAACAGTTGTAGCAGCTCCTGTTATCCGTCAAACGAAGGTTCCCGTTGTTCGCCGCCATAATATCGAAGCCACTCGAGGCGTAGTGCAATCTCTACGCCAGTTACTCCGTGCGTGAAGGCCGTCAAACTTAGCAATCACGAGGAAAACTGAAACCTGAGATGTGCCCTGGCTGTCAACAGTTGTAGCAAGGCTCCGGCCGTCTACTAGCCGTTTGAAATGGAGGACAAAAGCTCGGTTGTTGCTGTAACTCAAGGTGCGGAATTTGTCAAAATTAAATTTGACCAGGATTTCAGCCCCAATGGCTGTATGCGAAGAGTAGGTTTGGACTTCAGTATGTGAAGGGAGTAGGTCTAAACTTCGCGTAGGAACTGCAAAGATGTCAGCGACAACTTCCCGCAGGCTCAGATAACTCCTGGTAGAAATTTGAAATCCCAGGCCTCGATTTGCTTGGTGTAAAGAAATGCAGATGTTTTATTCTGGAAAAAGAAAGAAAAAAGATTTTCATTCAAGGCCTCGCCCCATCACTCAACAAGTGTGCAAAATGAGAATGAATCTTTTGTGCATTTCTTCGTTTACGTATTGCTGTTAGATTCATCGAGGTTAGGGCCTCGCCACATTAGTCACCAAATGTGCAAAATGAGAATCGAGTACAGCATAGTTTTTGCCATGTGTGCATTTGTGTGGGTGCACCATTCTGCCATACGGGCTGAGCGTTTCTGATTTTTGGGGCTGACATTGTTTCCCGCGTTCTTTTTGCAACCTTTGTGCCACCCAGCCCATGTACAATCACCGTGTGGCCTGCCGGGTGTGGTGCCACCTGTGATACGTTTTCCTTCTCCCCGTCGTGGTCCCCACCGCATGTGGGGCGCGCGTCCACACAGGGCATGGACACTCAGAGAAAGTTCTCATCTCAACCCCCAGAATCCTACTGTATCCTTGCGGCTGTCATTGGACACTACTCCGGCTTTTGCATCTGTTCATCCAGCCAGAAGGAAGGATCACATTCTCTCATAGTTTGACTACCACACTACAGTGTTTTCTTCTAGCAATATTCCACAAGCAATATTCCAGACAGCTGCTTCAGGATATCCATCAACCGCAAAACCACTAGCTCATATACGGCCTTGCGGCTCTGCACTACTGACCAAATGAGTAAAAAGTGTGAGTGCCAAAGACTTCATCGTCAGCAGACTCAGGAAATACTCTCACAATGACTTTTTTCACTAAGCTCGGGACGTGATTTTTTCACTAAGCTCGGGACGTGATTTAGCCACAGATTCATCCAGGTGTGGCGGTGATTGCAGCTGGATAGTATGGGGCCTCACCACACACGCTACTCCCGAAAGTTTGGGATTGCAGCGGCACCACACCAGCTCCCGAATTTGCTCCCGCATTTCTTCTGTCAGGTTGAATTGGGTAGCGAAATCACCGGCTGCAAAGCTTCATGTTCCAGAGAGATCCTCTGTAGCTCTGAGCTTTTACCACACGGTATTTGGGTACGCAGGAAGAAGAATCCGAACCAATACGTGATATCTTAAACCACCAGTACTTGGCCCAGCTATCGGCCAAGGGCGATTCCCGTTAACGCACCGGTAGTTATGGACTTCAGGGCACCGAACCACAATGGCTGGAAGCGCCAGCCAACATCAAAACGAATCGGTGCCCCGACAGCTCGGCAAAACTTGGCACGCAGGGGGTACCCCGGCTCGGCATCAATAGCTGGGCCAAGCACTGGTGGTTTAGTCTCTTTGTTTAACTCTAGTCCGAGCATAACATAAGATCATGTGTATCAATTGCCTGAGGAAGAGGGCCGGTAATGCCTATCACGAAGTCATCTGCGTATCGCACGTAGCTAAGACGTCGAAAGTTCGCGTCTGCCATTCCGTGCTTGTCGTATTGCTCCTTCAGGATCTCATACCTGATTCGGGGTTCAAAGGGACAAACACAGTTCAGTCCGATTGCTTCACACTGAACGCGTCCGAGGTATGGCAGCTGTCATTTTCCGGCTTGGGAAGCGGGCCATTCGAGAGTACATGAGACCAAAGGCACTCTCAAGCGGGATTTCCACATTGGGGAGCAATCGTGGAAATTTTTAAGAACTCGCAAGCAGTGTGGCAAGGCCATATATGCCGTCCCTGACAGTTTCCAAAGACAATTGCAAAAAAGCCACCGGAGACCGTGATTCAAAAAAAAACAACGCTGGCAAAGAGTAAAAAAAAAAAAAAACACTGGCTTTCCTCACCTGGTCATCGCAAGTCCAAAGGCATATATACTGACACGAGTACTTTTTCGACAAAGCTCAGGACACAATTGCGGTCATTCACATTCATCCAGGTCCGCTCGTAATTTCAGTCGGACCCATTTCGGAAAGCACCAATGTGCCCTGAAATGAGGGAAACAATTTCACACATTCGTATCTCCAGGTTTGGGTTCAAAAAAAAAAAAAAAAATCAAGAAAAAAAAGGGGATGGGTGGGAGGGGAGAGGAAGTGTCCCGATTCGGACAACGACAGGACAGAGACAGACCAAGAGAGATGGCACACAAGGCACAAGAGGCACAAACAGCAGCAGATCTTTCCAGTGCTGAAAAGATCATTTCGGCATAGGGGCTGGATATTCCTGTTAACCATTGACGGAACCAAAAACATGGCCCATTAACTCTCCTGTCCACACGAATGAAGAAAAGGCTGGCAATGTGTTCTGTGGGTGAACGTCAGATCCATCCACATTTACTGTCATCCATCAATCAATGTCGACAAAGACATTTTCACACCGTCGAACCAACGACAGCCTATAATTATGCGCACGAACATTGTGAACAGGAGACCATCAACGAACTGTCACACCTATGCTCTAACGTCCTCGGGATGGCAGCTCGGCCAAAAACAAAGTTTGGGACAGTTCTAGATCAAACAGGTCCCCTCACCAAAGGATAAAATCACCTTGCTCTGAGAGGGTCTTATCAATTCATTGGTGTGTGCACCAGATTCAACCTCCTAGCCGTGCTCTCCGCTTCTCGACCACCTTCTTTCAATCAGCAGTCACCTTCCACTACCCGCGCAAAGCTCTTCTTCCCGACACCAACGCCAGAAGTGCATGCCTGTCCTCTTCCCCTGCCAGGCTCTCCCACTTCGTGGCCTTGGAACATCGACGAAAAATAACTCCCCCACCTTGTCCTAATCACCAGGTCCATGAAAAAGTGATTCTCAGACACAACCCTTACTACCATGGGTATCCAGAAGCTTAGCTTGGGCCTGTATCCTTCCTACCCAGCTACTACACCTTTTCGCTCATCAATCACCTCGTACAGCCGTACCCGATAAAGATGCAGTCCACCGAAAAGCGGCGTAGAAAATCCAATTTCCGCACAATTGAACAGCTCATAACACTAACAGAGCACACCTGATAGCACAGAATAAACGCGCAACAGCACGCTGCAAGACCAGACATCAGCATCATAATAGCAACAACCCGCTTGAACTCCAGAAATCTTCATCCTGCAGCATTCTTGTCGCTGTTTCTCACGTCGTCACATTGTCCCTGAGCCACACAGTCTGTGCGCGCCTCCATTCCTGTCTCCTTCATTACATCCTCGCCTCTTCACATGGTCACTGTGCACAGTCTGTGTCCNTGGTCACTGTGCACAGTCTGTGTCCCTGAGCCACACAGTCTGTGCGCGCCTCCATTCCTGTCTCCTTCATTACATCCTCGCCTCTTCACATGGTCGCTGTGCACAGTCTGTGCGACTCTAGTCAAGCCTTATTTCATTACACCACCCTCGCCTCTTCACCGAGTCCCTCGGCACAGTCTGTGAAACTATCTTCAAACCTCCTTTCATTACATCCAACAAGCAGCGCTGCAGGGCAGCCTCCTCTTTTCTGTTCGCCATTCGGCTCACGGCAAGCAAAGTACCTTGCAGGCCTGCAGAGGGTTCCGGCAAATTCCCCTAATGCACTACACGAACCCTGCGAACACCAGTTGATGTTGTTTGTTCCACCAAATTGAGAATACTCCCCGACGATTCTTCTCGGCTTCAGACCAGAATTCCGACCTCGCATTGGCTTGCTTCTCCGGAAAGTGTCTTCAATTACATCACAAGCATGACAACTCTACAGACTACCGTAGTCACCCACAAAGATGTGTACCCCACCCCCCCTCATTTGCACCAACATGGCATTGTGCCTCGAATCTAATGATCTCAAGATCAAAGCTACCATACCCCGCAACTGTAACGAGTCCATAACGACTTCAGCACATCGATGAACAGGGGTTCATGTGACAGACTAGGGAAGACATGTTGAAATCCTACACATACCGAAGAGCTCCCAGAGCCGCCACGTCCGTGATAGCGCCCAAACATGTTCACGAGACACTCTTTTCGCATGATCTTGATCCCATCGAGAACTGAGACATCCACTCCCGGCCCCCACAGAATTACCCGAAGAATTGTGAAAGAGAAAAAGAACGATGAGAGAGCCCAAGAAGGGCCAAAATAAGAAGAGAATACGTTTGAGAAACACACTCCTCGTGTGAATGTGCAGCGCTCACCGTAGCACTGGTTCATCCTTTCATTCTTCATATAACACGGTGGGAAAGTTCCGGCTGCCTCTACGGAAAACTCTAGCCAAACATTTGATTCACCGAGGACCATCACCAGCCCGTTGACCGATCCCATTCCTCTCCTTGCCAAGCTGTCCACTGCCCCCGTGTCGGGCTGTAATGCTCCACCAGATTCTTGATCCCTCTCATCCCTGCTATCCCCAATCCTCTCACTGTGCGCATGCAGAGCACTCCAAACTGTCAATTGCACCCGTGCCGAGCACTACAAAGTGTTTGCTACACCTATGCCCAGCACTCCGAACTATTCATTGCACCTGTGCCTAGCACTCAGAAGTATCAAGGGCACCTGTGCCTAGCACTTTCAAGTATCAAGTGCACCTGTGCCTTGCAGCGACACTC